AAGATCTCTCAATATTAGAACCCTAGGAAGTAGTTTCTCTGCTACATTTGAGGCTATGGTTCTGAGAGTTCAATCTTCCTTTATTTTGCGAACTCTTTAGACTTTATATGTTCCTTTCCACCTCTCCTTGTGCACTGCATCCCTGAGCAATTTGTTATTCAAGTCTCCCAAAGCAGGATGTTCACATGGGACTGATTTGGAAACCATATTTAGAGCATATTATCCTAATTCTTTATCAGCTTTCATGGGCAAGAACTTGAAACATTTTTCTGTACTAGTTCCTTGAAAGCACAAATCTAGCTAGTCCTGAATTCTTATTATCTTTAGTGCAATTTTAGCCTTCAACTGCTATGCTATCAATGAAGTGAGATTTTCCTTCTACCCTCTAGAGCTTCACAGAAGATTAAATCCCAGTCCTTTTTTATGTTAAGCCCTTGTACTGTTGTATTCTGCAAGACTGGGGGCAGAGGATCTAGGCTTGTGGTTCCTCCGTGGTCACCTCTGACTTCACTGAATTGACATAATCCATAGTGCCTGCTGCTTTATCTTGGGCAGAACTTTGATCAGCAGAGATAGCTGAATTTTGCTTTGACATCTTGCTGATCTCTGCTGGACTTTCAAAACAGTGTATGAGTCATAAACGATTCCCTGTAAGGTAAGCCTCACTGGTTTGGGAGCTATAAAAGAATACTGTCATTTTTAAAGGACAGAATTTTCCTTTCATTCTCTCTTCCTCTCCAGACACTCTCTCTGTTTATTTTTCATTCTGTCCCAAACATTCTTTGTTTACATCCCACATTTTGGAAATTTCTTCCTTCTCCTTCATCTAACTGCTCTTTTATTCCACACCATTTCTCTGGACAAGGCAAGCAAGATCTGGAAAAAATCAGACGTTTACACTGATAATGTTCCAGCCGGATTAGCAAATGTTTGGAAAAGACCTCATGCTTTGGGCACCAACTTCTGTCTGATTGGGGTAAAACACTCTAATCACTGGGGTTGTTGCTGGATAGAGGCTTTTTTTCTTTATGGTATCTGGTCTAGTTATTATCAAAGACAGATTGTTGGACTATGTGGACTGACACTGGGCTAGTCCAGCCTGGCAATTCTCATCTCTGTGTGAATGTGAATCCAGACACATTTCAGTCTAGGATGGGTGTTCTTTTTGATGCATGTAGGATAATGAGGTATACTCAGTAAAATTAATAGGCTGCAAGCAGAAACTGGTGATCTCTGTATCCATTGCCCTGTATGCTTGCTGAACTGAATCCCCAGTTCCACTGGAAAAGAACGAGCCACAGAGCTTTCCACGTATTTTAAAATATATGTAATCACAAGCAATAAAGACTTAGCAGAATGCTTCAGTCATCTGGGTTGTGACACAAGGCAGGGTTAAATTTAAAGCCCAGACAATACACTTGCAGCTAACTTTTTGACCTCATTCTATATGTGGGTTTTCTCCATTGCAGAATCCGTGCCATGAGGCTGAGAATGCCAATGCACTTTTTAGACGGGGAGTTGATTCCTTAGGCACTTATCTAGCTGAACTGGAATAATTGCTTCCTTTCCTCTTGTATTGCTTCAAGGCATTCTTATATGTTGTATCTTAGTGTTTCTGTTGACCAGAACAGGAAGCCATACAGCAAGTTGCAGCCAGATTTCAGGGACTAAGCTGATTAACTCTGGTGAAGCTCTAATGCAAATCCCATCCCATTTAATTCCTCGGCTCGCCTCCACACTGCGTGGTATTCCCTCCACAGACACAGTCCTACATTACCAAGTGACACAACACCACCAGCAGCCTCACATAAATCTTGCAGAGCTTGGGGCTGCCAGTCACACCTCACAGTTTTGAGGTGAAATTTCTATCTTAGCACAAGGGCCAAATGACACGTGATGTTCTAGTCACTGAGAGCTTTGCAGAGCAAAGAGGGCTCATGTTTTGCTAAAGGGAACTTACTGTGGATGGTTTCTTGGTCTGCTGAAGTGTGCTAACACATTGTATTGTCTGGATAATGAATTAATAAGTGTTGCAATATCAAATGCGTGCCTGTTTATTTATGTTTATAGGTACACACCTATAGCTACAGAAGTGTGCTCCAATGTAAAAGCCGGTCTGATGATACTGGTCAGAATAATATTGAAAATTTGTTAGAGAAATAGAAATCATGGGATTTCTACTGTTTCCAGGGATGATAATCTTTTTCCTGAAAAGACCTTCTAAGATGGCAGTTAGCTGCTAACACACTAAAGAGGAAAACATGACAGGAAAAAAAAACCCCTTCTGCTGACATATCTATGTCCACATCAATATAAATTAAATGAAAGTTTAGCTTAAAACTGTTAAAAGGTTGTTAGGCCCATGTTTAATAGAAAGACTGATGTTATAGTCTGATTTTGACAAGGTTCAGGTTAATACCAGCCAGCTGAATCCCACAGCCATTGGCACACCTCTGGCAGCTGCATATTCACAGACAGAGACAGTTTGACCTCATCCAATTTATACATTTGATCTAATGCACTCGAGGCCATCTAAAAATAGAGTTCTGGAGGGGAGGATGGATAATTCTCCTGAGACACAGACCAACAAAAGCAGCTCTCCTTCTTCCAGTCTCTTTTCTCTCTCTGTATGAAGCTGCAGCTCAAACTTTCTTACAGTAAAAAAATTGCCTTTATCACATATCCCCTCAGAATAGATAACTTTTCTCTTAAGAAGTCCAAAATAAAATTTGTCAGGCCTTTATGAATTACCAGATGTTGGGAAAATGATGGTGTATCATTTCCCTGAACAAACATTCTTGGCATTTATGCATTTCCTCCCATATCTCTTTAAAAAATGATTCTGTGTAAATTTAGTGCTGACAAAACTGAGGGCATGGGAGAAAATGGATTACTCACTCATTTGGTAATTTTACTTGGTCAAGGCATGGAATTTTTATATTCTGGGAAATTTGACACAGAGATATTAGTTTTCATTCTGATTCAGAATAAATTAAATTCAGAATTAAAGCATAAGTACTACCACTAAGCAGAAAATTCAAAATGGCAGTTAGACACCCCTTTATTTGAAAATTTCAAGGTGTAGTGTTTCTTTCACAATATTTTTAGCTCTTATTACATGATGTGACCACTGATGGAAACTTGCTTTTAGATCAAGTGCCACTCCTAGGTGCTGTTCTAGGAAAGTTCAGACACTTCATTCAATACTGAAGAAGATCAGGCACTTTAGTATTGAAAATGTGTTTTTTTAAAAAATGGTGTTAAAGTAGCATACTTAATTTATTCACAGTCATATGCAATCCTTAGGTTGTGTGCTAAGGTGCCAGTCATAATCAGTCATTTATACTAACACAGCTATTGAAATGAAATAATTTTGTAAACCCTTATTTTTAATATAAAATTTTTAAAATGTCAAAGCAAACACACTTCCTTTGCTGCATTTCCTGAAAAATCCTAAGTGTAATCAATTGAACTTCACATGTAACGATATGGTGGCTCAGAAAATACTTTTACAATTAGAAAAATGTCTGTTTCAATAAAAAGGTCAGGTAGCTGTTATCCCTGTATTTCTAGAATTCTGTCCATGTCCAAACAGATGGTTGGTGGCTATGAAGGTTTATGTGTATTTGGTGTTTCTATTCATATAATTCCCACACAGTTATCTGTAAGATTACTTCTCTCAGTATTGGTATTTTATTGATAATTTCCATGGCAAGATGAAACAATTAATTTACATGGATGATGGATTTCAGTAAATGAAACCTCAGTTGTCTCATTCCATTCCTTGTGTGTAGAACAGAGATATTGAAACATTGTCTATGAAGTGAGAACTATACCTGTGTTTCACCTCTACTGCAAAATGATCGAAGAGAATAACTCCCTGGGAACCAATGTACCGTTACCCTCTTTTGGAATGTCAGTCATTTTCCTCACTGGGTTGTGAGCCTGATTTGAAGAGGGGACAGAGCAGCAAAACCTGTGTGGTTCTGCCAATTCAGTAATGTACTGGCAGAACCATCACTTGTAAAGAGAATTACCCTCTCTCTTCACTGAAGGAGGCATAACATAGTGGCAGAAAGGAAGTAGAGCCAAGAGGGCAACTGATAGGCATGGCTGTTTTTCATGTGTGGGGGAATTCCTCTGCCATGTGATTTTGCATGGTGTGTAACTTCAAAAACTCATATGTCATAGAGAAACCCAGCACATGAATCCACAACTGCCTCTAGAAAGTACTGTCACGGAAGAAGAGTTAAAGTTAATGGACCACATTTTATCCTCCTTTAAAAGTCACTACACTGGAGTTTCCACAGGTAAAACCAAGGCTACTGTGCCTTTGCCAGGGCTTAAAATATTCTCATATATTTATGGTATCAATTTGGATTTATTTTCATTTATGAAATTGATTTGAAAGAATACATTAGAGTAAAGCATTTATCCTTCATCTGAAGCTGAATCAGCAGTTCTGGTGTGCTGATTACTTCTCAGAAGTATTTGTGCCATCCTAACAGTGCCCTGCACTCATGCAATGGATGTGCTTGATGTGGGTCAATGGTTGGCAGGGGAGCGTGGCCATCCAGGTGCTGTCCTGATGCCATGTGGCACATTTGGCAAGGGACTTACCACCTTTGGTGTACCATTTGTGCATCTTTGAAATAGGTTTTCTTGTCTTGTATAAGGGTATAATGATGTGTGGATGAGAGAGAATGTAACTAAACCAACTGCCAGAGGTCTCTGTGCTCTAATGCTGTACTTCACATCCTGAACTCTGCAGTTGGACTGAGTCCAGCTGAAAGCTCTGCTGAAATACCACTTGAAATATTCGCATCATTTTCTACTCTGCACTTAAAACATCTTTCTCTTCCATCCTCTCCCCATGCAGGCGTTTCTTCCAGGGAGGTACCTGCGGGCGAACTCCCTTCATCAATCTGTTGCCTGGTGACCTACAATGATTCGTTTGTCCACTGCAGTTTCCCAGACACTTCTTCCATAGTGGCCCTTACCGTAAGTCTAAAGCGATGCTGCCCTCTCCTGTTCACTCTTGACCCGAACGATCCAGGCAAAGGCTGCAGATGTCTTTGTCCCCACCTCGAGCCAAGGGAAAAGGTCCACAGTTTACTTTTATCAGTCTTTTAAGATCTGCATGGATAACACACATGTTGAAATGTTCTTGGAAATTCTATTCCTTGAAAATTCTATTCCTTGAAAATTCTATTCCTTGAAAATTTTATCTTTTTAACATTCTTCCTCTCTCCCATCCCCATTTATATTCTTTGTCTACAACTTGTTTTATTTTTTTTTTTAAAATCCACCTGCTCCTTAACAATCTCTTCTTCCCCCTGAGCACTCTCAAAACACACTCTTCCTCTAGTCCCAGTTAAAATAATGCAGGTTGTAATTGCAACAAATAGTTCATTAAAAATCAGAGACTGTCAAAGCCTGGTTCCATTATTTGTTCCTGAGATAAGAGTTTGACACAATAATTGTGCTAGCTCCCCAGAAGATCCCGTCAGGGAGCTAAATCCCTCTTCAGGAGAAAGGGCAAACACATGACAGCACTGAGGTCTAAAGAGACAAAATAACAATAATTCCATTTTTCTATTGTTCTTGTTACCACCCCTCCTGCTCAATAACTTAAAATATTCACACAGCTTCTTTTAGGAACAATGCCTTTAACATTCATTCAAACCATTATTGAATGCATGTATAGTTCACTCATTCTGAAACCAGATTTTCCAAACCATGGGCTGTGGGGGAAATTCAAAAGGACCATGGAGGGCTAGGGAAAAAAAAATCTTATTGTTAATGCAATTGTTTGAATTACGATTGATTTAATATCAAAAGAAAACATAATTTTATTTCTATTGTTCTTTTTTGTAAGTTTTATGCTGACAGCATCTCATTTTTCTCAGGGTAAGGGCAATTGAAAAGTGCCTGTAAATACTGACTGCAAGCAGTTATACTAATCATCTTTTAAATGCTGGCTGCAACTCAGTTCCTCCACTACCAGGGAGAGTTCTGTGTGCTCCTCCTGTAATTACGGCCAATTCTCTCTCCTCTGCCCTGGAGGAGCTGAACTGCTCCTGCCATGGAAAGGTAATTAGCTGTTTCCTGCCTAGGGACAGTCAAATGGAGACAGATGAGCTCAAAAGCCAAAGCTCAGCACCAAACACTGCTGTTTGACTCCTTGAACATCCACAAGTCTTAATGCCACTGGATTAATGGTTCTTGGGGTCTGCTTGTCGCCGCCTCTCTGGCACCGAGTGTGTCTAGGGACAGGTTCTCCACCAGGCAGGCTCCTGTGTCCTCAGCTGGTGTACTTGGTGCTGCCAAGTGCTGAACATCTCTGCACAAGAGCTGAGGCGTGTCAGTTCACTGGGCTGAGAGTGCCAGTGCTTTTGCAAACACTGGATTCATGTGTCCTGACGTCTGTACTCATGTCTCACCCTGGGACCACAAACCTATTTGAATGAGGGGGTTAGCTGTTGTCTCTCATCAAGCTCTGTTGAGGAACAGTCCTCCATGTGTTGTTCCACCCCAGTAGCTACTGGGTTTTGTTCCTTTAAAACTAGTGTGTGTTTTTATAAAATTTCTTCAGAATATCCCTTTTTCCTTTTCCTCTGTATTCACAAGTACTCCCAAAATCCCACACACTTCTGTCTGTTTAACAAAGAACTCAGATTTGCTTCCTGAGCTATGCACAGACACATCTTAAAATATCTTGCCAACTCATCTTTCATTCACCTGGAAGCCATATAACAAGGCAGACTGCCTTGAGTACTCACTGTCATCTGTCAGCTCTCAAGGTGTTCATCAGGCTCACAGCACCCACGTCATTTGCAATCTTCATTTCGAGGCACGCCTGCAGGTCCTGTGATGTGCTGTGATGGAAAACTTTTTGCTTACATCTGGAATCATTGTTCTTGATGTCTCAGATGGGGCTGAGGGGAAACCTTTAAAAGGGGAAAAGGACAATGAAGCAAGATGTTAAGGCAGCTAGTTGGTCAATGAGTCACAGCTACTAAAAATTTGGCAGCAGCCACAAAGCAGCAAAATGTTACCAGCTCTAAAAGGCCCACAGGATGTTTCTTGCTCATTCACTCACACATGCAAACACACAGACAAGCAATTCCCTGCTCCTCATGATCTTGAGATGAACTTGTAAGCAGCTTGGGCATAGGGTTTAATTTCTACAGGAAGTACTTACTTTGCTCTCCTTAGCTGATTTTCTAATCACCATCACTCTGATGGAGGTTTCTGATGGTGTCTCAGGGTCTGACTTGCAGCCTACTGAACACAGTGTAAGTCTCTCCTTGATGTTCAGTGGAGAAACCACAGATCAAGCCCTTAGCAAATCAGTTTGGGCCACAAGTCCTGATGACTAAGAAGGTAGATGCTGACAGTGTAGAACAATAGCAGAGGAGGCATAAAAGGGGACTGACTGTCTGTCTGATGCTGTATGATGGCTGCAAATGTTGATTGTGGCCTCTCGGTTTATCATATAGTTACTGCTGATGTGGCAACCACTTTGAAGAGAAAGAACTTGAACTCCCTAGAGAAAGAAGAGAGAGACAACGGGGTGTTGAAAAAGAAGGGTCAGGAAGACCAAAGATGAGCAGTCGTGAAGTGAAAAGGGATGTGAGGAAACTGCAAAGGAAAAAAATTACTTGAAACAGAAAGCAGGTTTTCACACCCACTCCCATGGGTAAAATGCCAATAACAGGAACTAACAATAACAACAATATACTACAAAAAAGAGCAACACAACCCATAAATAAAAAAAAAGGATTCTAAAAATTCCTGTGGTGGTACTGTAATAATGATATAGTATTGGTAGACAATTGTAACCAGAGAAAAAAAAATGTTTTTATGAGTCTCAGATCACCTACTCAAACTGGGAGGTGCCCACTCGTGCCAGCTGTGAATTTGGTCTCTGATTTTTGTAATATTTCAGTTCCTTTGAAGGCTGTTTTAAAGAGGAAGTTCTTCAGTCCCCTTTCTGCAAAATAAGAAGGTATAATCAAGGAATTATTTATTTAAAAACTGGATGAATAATACGCTATCAAATTCAAGTGTTCTTTATTGTGAGCCTGAAAACATTTTGTTCAAAATGTGTTACAGGTTGGAGAACAGGTTTTAAAAGCATAAATCCATTCCAAAACCATCGTGAATGGTTTTCTGGGAAGGAGAGATTATATATTACACTTGGTTCCTCTCCAAGATTTGTATGTCTTACATGAATACCCCTCTGTCTCCTTCTGTGGTGACATATCTGAGATCAATTATGCCAACAGTAAAGTCTGGAATTTTTATAGTCCAGCTCTTTACGAGCATTTTCATAGAAAAAACTTATGAAGACCGAGGCATAGGAAAAGTCCAATAATCCTGGCCTGCTATCTTCATCATCTCCAGCCCTCTGTCTTTTCTCTTTACGCTCTCCAAGTGAAAACACTGGCTCACATAGTACACATACTGCATTGAGGTGATTTAAATGGCCATCTGTATGTTTATCTGAGGCCTCTGTGAATGGGCAGCCTCATTAGTGCTTGTGTCATGGACGGATGGGCCAACACAAATTCTGTTTGTATAAGATAAATTCTCCTCTCCTGGCTTTATCTCTTGTTCGTTCCTTTTGCACTCTCTCATTTTTCTTTTCTTTCCTCTCTGGGAGTTTATTCCTGCTAGAACTCCCTTTTCTTATTTCTGAGGTTGGATCCTAATGCCTTTCCTTTTTTCTCTGCACATGCTCTGGAGAAATCTACCTGAAAAGCAATGCATTTTTAACCTGATTGTGGCTCTTCCTATAGGAGTGATATTACTGACATTAGTGGGACTAATTGGAGAAAACAGTGTTATTCAGGTCAAGGGGGTACCAGGAGTAGTTCCTTAGTAATAACTTTTTAAGCTATGACTAGAGACCTGGAAGTTTTGAAGGCTACCTTTAGGTTTATTTACTTTTTACAATGATAAGAAGCAATGAATCTGTATTATTTGTCAATTGTGCCATCTCCCAGAAAAATGAAGGAAGGCTTATGAATTACAAGCAAAATGTTTTCATTGTATTGATGTGCTTACCTTTGGCTTTAGAGTTTGAAAATCATGTTTACAGGGAGAATGCTAAATCTGTCATGCTTAGTTGCACTGAGTAGCACTTGACTGCTCAAATGCTCCTGCTGGGTGAACTAAGTATTTAATAAATTCCGAGGAGCAGCGTTGTGCTTCACTGGCAGGGAAATTAAGAAGCGGAGACGCAATTGTATTAGTCAGTATGAAGGGAGGTCATTGTCAGGGATTTAAATCAAGGCTTAAAGAAAGCAAATGTTAAGTCAGACAAGCAGTGGCTCAAACACAGGTAGGGTTTTGTCCCTGTAAGGAAATCACAAGAATGATATGTTTGGTATCCAATATAATGTTGAATTTTCCATATAGTTTCTGCTGCATTTAGTTCACTGTCTATCCCCAACACTGTCTGCAACCTGAGTGCCCTACTGGACCCTTTCTGGTTTATTCCTCAGCATTAGTATCAGCTTCAGTGGGAATTTTGAATGTGGGTGAGGACATTAAGGAGATGCATGAGTGATGGTTGAAAATCACCAAGAGTCAAACTATTACTCATTCCTAAGTACTTTTGGAAGCCATCTGTAGAAACTGAGATAACAGAATCCAGTTTTCTCTTTTATCAAAGAGCATGTTCAGGAAGGGTAAGGGCTAAGGAAGGATACATTTGCTTTCAACAATAAGTTTTTATCTCTGACTAAAATACACATGCAGCACACATGTGGAAGGAGAAGCAAGTGTAACAGTCTTTTACTTGGTAAAAAAAATGCATCTGTAGAACTTAAAAAAGATTCCCCAGACTCACAGAAGGCATTGTACCCTAGTGATAGCTTTTTACAACTGAACTTTAGCTCCAGTCTTCAGATCACTTCAGCACAGCTATGGGAAAATATAGCCCTGGTCCTAGGAATAGGAAGGAATGTCTATTTTTCATCCTCACATAATTGAAAACTGACTGCAAACAATTGGCAGGAATCTAAATATTCACATTTGGGCAGACACCAAACATGGGAAATTTCAGGCCAAGGGAATTTTTTAGGGAAGATTATGAGGAAGTGCATAAGAATAGGTTTTTTTTCTCCCTTTTTTCTTATTCTTTTTTGTTGTTGTTGTTGTTGTTTTCTTCTTTTTAATGGTAATGGTTAAGTGTGCCATTAGAGGTGACTCAACGTATAAACTGTCCAACCATTTTTTCCTAGTGCTTGTTCTTCAAATCCTGCATTTATTACTTAGTATAAAAGTAACAGACAGTGGATCTTTAAATAGAAATTACATTCCTGTCAGCTTACCCAAAGCCCAAATATGGGACAGAGTGTCAGAGAAAAACAGTAACATGAGGGAATTCAGGGACTTGACAAAGTTACAGACTCTGGTTCTGCCTGATAAACAACTTAGACTGAGTTGAGCTTCCTAAACTTGTATCTCAGGACATAAAAGTAAGGGGGAAGTAACCCCTTTCTTGAGCAACATCAGAGAGAAAGATCTAATGTAGGGTGAAGTGTGGGGTATCTGGAAAGCATAGGGTAATAAGGTATTAATATCCCATTTATTTTGGTTTACTGCCACCTTGGGCTGAGGTTGATAGAGGCACATGGCTTCACTGGCAGAAAGATTTGGCCGTGTGCTGTAAACTATTATAAATATTACATGGTGTAGCTGAGGAGCCTACACTCCAAATGTAATCTAGTATGGCTCAAACACTGAAGAACCACTCCATAAAAATGGCACTTCTCTGTTCTACACATCTGTTTCTTGCATGTATTTTAAGAGTCAGAGCTGCTTAAATAACATTTTAATGAGAGTTTTACTGTGGGGGTTTTTTTAAGAAAAAAACATCTGCAGAGCTCTGTAGAGCCAAGTCTACTTGGAAAGAGAGCTTGCTCTTCTTCAGCATGACATTCAACTGCATGATCATTGCTGCTCTCCTTTATTTCTGCGTGTGTGTGCAGTGAAGAAGTGAGGTCAGAAGGAAATGCCTTGCATTGGTGCAGGACTGGAGAGGACAAAAGTTGCATCTGGGATCCTGCAAGCTGATGTGAGCTGATTTGGGCACAGATTATTTCCAAGTATTTCCAAAGGAACTTCCTTCCCTACTAAAATCCTTCCATCTTCTTCTGCTAAAGCCTCCAAGGAGGTATATCCATGCACCAATGGAGTACCATCAGGACTCTGTGCTGACTTTCTCCTTGTTAGCAGTCCCAGCTGCTACCTACATCTTTTCTCCCCCACTCCTGGAGAATTCCTTCCTCGTCTTCTTCATTCTTTGTTTCTCAGCCTCTGGGACTGGGATGCTTCCTGGCTAGCTCTGTACTTGTTGAGGGCAACCTTGGCTACTCCCACTGGTGGGAGATAGTCACACCCTTCAGAGTCTGGTAGCCAGAGAGCAGCTGTTTGTTTGACTCCCAGTGACCTTCCTTTCCCTTCCCTCCCTGTGGCCTGGCTGTTTTCACCATGAGGTTCACACCACGAGCAGCTTCCAATGTGCTGCTGCGATTTGAACTCAGGCAGGAGGAAGAAAGCTGACCATCCTGCGCCTGGTGGCTCACTGTGCTGAGCCACCACATCAGCTGGAGTCTAGCTCCTTATTACATCCAGATGCACAAACAGTTTGCCTGCCAAGAGCATGCTCGGTGCTTAGTGAAACCCTATCACTGCGACAGATTAGTGGCGGGACTGCCAGGAGCGGCTTTCGGGAAAGGCATCAGGAGGGAGGGAAGCCTTGGTACGTGTGGTACATCCACCTCCTGAGATGGGCTTGCTTCTGGAAACTGTCTTTCTACTCAGAGGTAATTAAAAGCACAGAAGGAGGAAAACAAAGGAATAGGAAAAGGTTTGCTAATTCGTTCCAGGTTATAAATCAAAGCTTCACAAATCTGTTCCCCCTCCATAATTTCACATCCATTACCCTTCATTTCTGTTCCTGGTGTTCTGCTGTGCAACTCATTTCACTTAGTCCTCACAGCTCTGGGCAGTTCCTTTTCTTCTAGAGCAGCACGAGTCTTCTCATAGGTCCTGTTTTATAGTCCACTGTGCCTCCCACCCGTGCATCTTTCTGTGCTTCTCACTTTGCTGAGGAGGGACTCCATCTGTTACTACAGTGGCAGCTCAACTTAAAATTTAGGAAATGTTAATTGATTTTATGTTGTTAACTACCTGAAGAAAGGACTTAATTACATTTGTCTGAAAAACTGGTCAGCATTTTGGCACGAGGCTTAAAAGGCTTTGGGAAGGAATCAAACGTTGTTTTCTGTTCTCTGCATAAAAGGATAGTGGCTGTCATTTGTGCAATGCTTTGCACACATGTAGCCCATGTTGTGTGAGTTTCACCATGGATGAGAATCTGTGAAACAGCATTATTATTTCTGAATTTACTCATGCATCTCTAGTGATTCAATCACCAAAGCTGTTGGAAGCTCAGGCCTGGATCCCCATTTTGCTTACAAATGGACAATAGCAGAAGCCAGAGTTCAGATACGAATGTGACCGGTTTTCAGAATATTCAAAATGGGAATCTGAGTTCTGCAGACTAAAATTACTTCCATGATAGTTAAATCTTAGGCTATCTAAGGACCATTATCTGTGCAAGAGCTTCCTTCTTCAGCAAAATAAGTTCCTTCTTACTCAAGGCAACTGATCTGTTAAGTCTGTAGGCTGGGTTTTCTCTCTGGTTTCTGGCCACAAGGGGACAGACAGTAACTGTCACATAAAGACAACACTGTGTGCTTGGTGCATTAAGTACATCAAAGATGGCCAGTGTCTCGGTGTTAACTGTTTCTGAAAAGTCAGGGAAAAAATATTCTAGGCAGTACAAATCAGATACAAAAATATATCTGCTGAATTAGCACAGCAGAGATCAGAGAAATAAAATATATATCTATTTCAGATGCAGCATAGGAAAAATGCTTTAAATGTATAAGTGTTTATAGTTTAAAAATATACTTGATATTAGTA